AGCACTAAACTAACATGTAACTAAATATTTATGATTTAATACTCGTATATATAGTTTAAAACAATGACCATAGATTTTCACCCGGCCAGCTAGTATCATCATCAGCCATGGTCAATCCACTGCTAGATGAAGGCCTCCCCAAGCCACCACCACATTTTACGATCCTGCAATTTTATAACCCCACTGACCACTCGCACACGAACCAATGTCATTGCCCAATCTCCTCGATGGACGTCCTCTTGGATGTGTCTCCATTCTTTGGCTGCAACTCTGTTATTATTCTTGACCATCAGCCATCATCCCTTCTCGCGTCGTGTCCTGCCTAAGCCAAGCAAACATCGTTCAGTGAAACTCTTCTTATCTTCGCTGACGTGGGGGGCACAATAGGGGGGGGGTCCAATTAACATCGATTAACCACGGAAATTGCTTATTTTATCCTTGCGAGCAAGCTCGTGTAGATGCAGATAATTGCGTGAATTTTGCCACGAGTTCGAGAACACTCTTCTTATAATCCACGCTATCGTGTGGATATAATCTGGATGAATGTAGCGCTTCTGTAAAACCGTGTTCAGGCAACTCATTGGCGGATACTAGAAATAATGTTCTGCATTGACAGGTGGATTATCCGTGGATAAGCTCTGACATGACAATATAGTAGGATGAGTTTTCCCTCACTTGTGGATTTTGTAAAAAAAAAGCAGAAACAAGAGGAGAATACTATGGGGACCTCATTTGCCAGTAAAAATATGATAATTGGTTCTTTACCCTTCTATCTGGCAACAAAACTGACACCTTTTTGCAAGGAGTCATGTTTGCATAGACCGCAATACCTGCAGTCATAATACAAACAAAAGAACATAACTCTGATAATGTGCACTGTCCTTGAAGTTGATTGGTCCACACCCGAGACAGCTTTCCTTCGAGCCTAGTCTCATATGGGTTGGACCAGATGACGCCAAAAGGCGCACAACTCAAGGACAATGCACCATCAGAGTATGAGAGCTCGGGGCAAGCATCTACACTATGGGGACCTCATTTGCCAGTAAAAATATGATAATTGGTTCTTTACCCTTCTATCTGGCAACAAAACTGACACCTTTTTGCAAGGAGTCATGTTTGCATAGACCGCAATACCTGCAGTCATAATACAAACAAAAGAACATAACTCTGATAATGTGCACTGTCCTTGAAGTTGATTGGTCCACACCCGAGACAGCTTTCCTTCGAGCCTAGTCTCATATGGGTTGGACCAGATGACGCCAAAAGGCGCACAACTCAAGGACAATGCACCATCAGAGTATGAGAGCTCGGGGCAAGCATCTACACTATGGGGACCTCATTTGCCAGTAAAAATATGATAATTGGTTCTTTACCCTTCTATCTGGCAACAAAACTGACACCTTTTTGCAAGGAGTCATGTTTGCATAGACCGCAATACCTGCAGTCATAATACAAACAAAAGAACATTATCAGAGTTATGTTCTTTTGTTTGTATTATGACTGCAGGTATTGCGGTCTATGCAAACATGACTCCTTGCAAAAAGGTGTCAGTTTTGTTGCCAGATAGAAGGGTAAAGAACCAATTATCATATTTTTACTGGCAAATGAGGTCCCCATAGTGTAGATGCTTGCCCCGAGCTCTCATACTCTGATGGTGCATTGTCCTTGAGTTGTGCGCCTTTTGGCGTCATCTGGTCCAACCCATATGAGACTAGGCTCGAAGGAAAGCTGTCTCGGGTGTGGACCAATCAACTTCAAGGACAGTGCACATTATCAGAGTTATGTTCTTTTGTTTGTATTATGACTGCAGGTATTGCGGTCTATGCAAACATGACTCCTTGCAAAAAGGTGTCAGTTTTGTTGCCAGATAGAAGGGTAAAGAACCAATTATCATATTTTTACTGGCAAATGAGGTCCCCATAGTGTAGATGCTTGCCCCGAGCTCTCATACTCTGATGGTGCATTGTCCTTGAGTTGTGCGCCTTTTGGCGTCATCTGGTCCAACCCATATGAGACTAGGCTCGAAGGAAAGCTGTCTCGGGTGTGGACCAATCAACTTCAAGGACAGTGCACATTATCAGAGTTATGTTCTTTTGTTTGTATTATGACTGCAGGTATTGCGGTCTATGCAAACATGACTCCTTGCAAAAAGGTGTCAGTTTTGTTGCCAGATAGAAGGGTAAAGAACCAATTATCAAGAGGAGAATAATAACATCGAGTAATAGCAGGGCACATACAAGCATTCTAGATCTGAAGCTTTCGTGACTGCAAGGATTCATTTTTTCGGTAAAGTCACGAAGGTAAAAAATGAAATTAAAATTAATAAAAATAAAATAATAAAATTCACGACGTTTCGGAGGCAACACAAGTCTCCGTCATCAGGTGGGACCGTCACAGCTATAAAGCAAATCGGGCTGTGACGGTCCCGCCTGATGACGGAGACTTGTGTTGCCTCCGAAACGTCGTGATTTTTATTATTTTATTTTTATTAATTTTAATTTAATTTTTTACACATAGAAGAAGTTTCAATTTCCTTATGTTATTAATCACAGCATACTCTATGAAGAAGAAGTAGCTGTAGCCTTTGTCAATCCATTGCTGGAAGAGGGCCTCCCCGTGCAACGTTGGTCATAGGGGTTGTAAGACCATACTGGACCATGTTGGAGGGTGGTGTCCACGACCGGTTCGTTTTTCACTTGCCCCCGATGCTAGCCGTGACCGGGAATACAACTTCGGTGGTAAGGCTGATCGCGTAGTGTGCTCACTATTGTGACGCCACACTCCCATACTAAATGTATACAACCTGTGTATATGAATCTAATTTTATAAGTTTCACATGTAAATTGTGCATATATATAGATAACCTTCTAATCAAAAGCTTGTAATATAACTAGCATAAACAATTAATAATAATACTGTTAATACCAGCGTCAACAAAATATGTAAACTCTTCGTTCATTGATGGCAATTATGGTACCTCCTCTGTGTGATACGGCACGAATGAAAGGTTGTTTTATTTCCCTGTCATTTAATTGTGTTTCTTTATCCCCTCCATCAGCTGTTATTGTTGAAACATAAATGGGCAGAAATGTCTCATTATAAAAGCACGACGAGCCATTTCCACCCACCACCGGTCCTGAATCCTACAGTCCGAGCCATTCAAATTCAGAATTTGTGTCCATTACAGGGACTCACCGGTTAAAGAAGAAGACCTGAATAGTGGGGAGGATTCAGGCCCATTTAAAGAATGGATGGATTATTTATGAATTCATTTTTATTTATTAAAACCACCACAATAAAACAATTAGAGGCTATTAATAAACAATCACGTATGTAAGAATAGGTGTTCCCCTTTCTGGCAATAAAACAGGTGTTAAGATGGTAAAACACCAAACTGAAACCTTTTGCAAGGAATTATGTCTGCATTAATTACATATACTTGTGGTGAAAATACAAAAAAAAACATGCTTTCACAATGCATATACTGATAATTGTTTTTTTACCCTTCCATCTGGCAACAAAACTGAAACCTTTTTTACAAGGAGTCATGTTTACATAGACCACAATACTTGCAGTCATAATGCAAAAAAAAAACATGACTCCTTGTAAAAAAAGGTGTCAGTTTTGTTGCCAGATAGAAGGGTAAAAAAACAATTATCATATTTTTTACTGGCAAATGAGGTTCCAATGGTGTAAATGCATATACTGTCAGAGCAGTATACATATACTGCATATACTGTCAGAGAATGTTTTTGTCAGTATTTTCACCACAAGTATATGTGGTTAATGCAGACATGATTCCTTGCAAAAGGTTTCAGTTTGGTGTTTTAACATCTTAGCACCTGCTTTATTGCCAGAAAGGGGAAAACCTATTCTTTTGTTTTGATACTGGCAAAGGAGGTCCCATAATAAAATCACGTATGTGTGTGTTTTTTTATGGGAGACCGGACAGGATGTCATTGCAGCATTTACATTACTGTACTGATAAAATAAAATAGAAATATTGTGAAAATCAAAAATACATTAACCAGTAAAACAATTCCGAAAAAAAACATATCAGCAAAGCAAAAGTAAATGCGAAATATAATAATGCACTTATACTGCACACATATAAATACGTAACACTTATCAGAAGCGGGGTTAGTAGTTTTTTTTCTATTGGCTTAATAGCGATAGAAATAAAGGTACCCACGTATCAATCAAGTACCAAAAAAAGCAACGCATTCCCCAATGACGATGTGGCCCTAAAAATTAAAAAAAGTAAATAGGCGACAGCACATAGAGAGGTCAAAGCGATAGAGGAATGTGGTTGAGTATTTTTTTTAGTTGTGCTTGTTTACCACTGCCAACGCAGTAACACCAAACACTTTGCCAATTTCGATGCAGTCAAGTTGGACCGAGAATGCTTATGATTGAATACAGTTCATCTAAGCAGAAGGCAGCAATGGCTCCTCAGAAGTTCCAGGAGAAAATAACAATGATATCCAGTCCCAATAATACAACAATGACTCACCTTGCACACAGGTGCCATGGAAATTTGAGTTTGGCAACAGCACAGCTGCGCCATGCTAATGAAACCCCAAAGGTCAAAAAACTCGCATCTACGGTGGCTATTTTTGAGCCAGACAAATGTGAAATGTAGCGTGGGTGCGTGCGCTAGTGTCTGTGTGGGTCTGTGTGTGCATGCAAACCTACGAGTGTGTTAATGCGTCCGTGTCCACTCGGAAACGGCATCTGCGTAAAAGCTCGCGTGTTTAATTCGCGGCCGAGTCAGGAGGGTGGGCTGCTGGAGGGTGGCACACGTGGTGGACATCGGGACTGGTCTGGTGGTGTTGGCGGCAGGGGCACGAGTGGATGACGGGGGGTGCGGAGGAGGCGGAGGAGGAGGGGGGTTGGAGGGGCTTTTGGAAGAGAGGAGGCGGCGAGGGGAAGGGATTGGTGAACGGGGAGGGTTAACCCTTCACCTGCTCCGTGCCAGAGTCTTAACAGCACGGACACAGCACTGCTCGTCGTCAATATAGCAAGCCTCTACACACACGGGAGCTCGGGGAGGGAGTGAGAGAGAGAGAGATAGGGGTCAAGAGAGTGAGAGAGTGAGCCAACCAGCCCCGCTGTGCGGGAGGGGGTGTGGGATAGAGAGGACACGGAGCTAGCGAGCGAGGCAGGGAGTGAGTGAATGAGTGAGTGAGCCTGGCAGTGGCTGCCTGCGTCCGGCGTTGCGCAGCATTTGCCGCAGCAACTCTGCCGTGCGGTTCTGCCGTGGAGCGGACAAAATCCGCAAAGCGTCTCTCCCCGCACGGAATACCACGCAGATTTATCAGGAGCTGCCTGCCACTCCACTTAAAGGTGAGGTGAGAGAGATTGGGGTGGGTGGGGTGGGGGGGTCCAGATGATATATTAGCGTGAGATTTGGGGCTGGGCAACGTTGGTCCAATTCGTTTGTCCCAACATTGGCTCATTGAAGTGTGTTAATTACGTGGGGGGGGGGGGGGGGGGGGTTTCAGTGATTTGATAGAGGGAGAGAGTTGGCGAGAAACACAGCTGACATCACACCCAAGGTGAATTGATTTGCTTTGATGGTTTTGTTGGGATGGTTGTTGCATGATGTGTTAAACATTTTATTATTCTGTTGGTGAACTCAAGCGTCTTCCTCTCTGGCATCATTAACTACCGTGTTTAATTTATCAGTGGTCGAGATGATAACCCGAGGTCTGGATAAGTGGTTGCTTATTTAAAGCGTCAGGATACAAGCTGTCTGGGGAAATCGTAGTGGCAGTAGTTGTAAATGTGTGTGTGTGCTTTTTCTTAAGGCTGGTTGCAGGGATTGTAGGGAGCGCTAAATCACTGGTTCCCCCTCTCATATTTCTTCTGGACGTTCACTTTACTGGAGTCGTTATAAGTTTACGAAATGTAGGTAATTTGTATATGTTTCCCAGCAGAAGGTGTGGAAATCACTCTTTGCAGTGTACACATGTGCACGCAGTACTGATGTTTACACTGTAACAGTTAGCTAATGGGAATTGCAAGAATACGGTTAATTAAAGTTTTTCCTCTTTCATACTTTTGTTTACCTTAACTCTACCTAGCGCTTTACTTTGCCTATGCCAATCATAGGCGCTCTGTGCACGCGTTTAGTAATTCCTATGGCATTATAGACTCAAGTCCCGTGAGTTCGACACCCGGCCACGGCTACAATGAATAATGATATCTGAAACAGCACTGGCCAGGGCACCACTTCACCAATCCACATTGAACATCGTGGTGAATGATGGTCAATCAGCCGCTATGACCATTCGGAGGCCTTATTCCAACAGTGGATTGACAAGGGGCTGTAATTGTTTCCTACCACGGACGCGACTGTGATGATGCTGAACTATTTTATTACATGTTAAAGGGGACACTGCAATAGTCAGCAAGAATAGAAAACGAATGTTCCAGTAATGTTTTGCTGTTGCACTTATATGTATTATACGGTATAGGGATGTGTCATGTTTAGCACAGTGCAAAATAATATACCTTTCATGGTAATACAGTAAATATTGAAATGTACAATTGGTGAACAGTGTTATGTCATTGTTAAGATTTCAGGCAATATTACAGAGTTCGGACGAGGGAATACACTACCATTGCAGATGCAACTGTTATGGATTTTGATCTGGCACATGTTGAATCCGATGCATTTATTATATTATTTTGAAGCATATTTTTCCCACTTCATCACACGTCATTGACTCCTTTGAGCAAGATTCGAGGGTGCACACCTGTACAAGTGTTGGTGGATCATGCAGAGATTTGTGAAACTCCCATATGCTGTTTGACTATGAAGTGGCCTTGTGGCAGTCGAGCAAATGGGTTCACAAAGCGACCTGTATGGACCTTTCAGAGTTATCTGCTCGTACACGTAGGTCCTTTTTATTCTGGGTATGTCGGTGTATGTCTTGTGTTTTGCCTGTAGCTAACATTGTTCTGTTATTTTTGGTTCTTTCGGTAAAGTCACGTATAAAGAGAAAATAATAAATTCAATACTAGCATACGACGTTTCGATTGCAACACAAGCAATCATCATCAGGTATAAATGAAATAGAAACACAAATCTAGTATACTTAGAAATGTAATGTAATACAACAGAGAGTCGGATAACATAACAGTTATTATTTTCTCTTTATACGTGACTTTACCGAAAGAACCAAAGAGTAATTCCTGCAGTCACGAAAGCTCCAAATTAACATTGTTCTGTCTTTGGCGATGTTGAAGTGTAACTATGCTTCGCGTCCTGTGTTGAATTGTCTGAGACATATCTGACAATGTGGGGCTTAATAACAGAGTGCTTTGGTGTTCAATTGCCTCAATCGTAGGAGACTGAGGACACTCGAGCAGAGTATCATGTGCATGTGTGGGGGGGGGGCAAATACCCAAAGAGGCACGTGATGATAGAAGGGAGCACGAATATTAGCTGTGGTCAGGAATCAAACTCAGGTCACAGGGTTCATAGCGTGGTGTGCTAACAGCTGCAATTTATAAAGGGGAGTGAGGATTACAACTATATCTTCGTTTGTTGCTCTCAATTTCTGTCTCCAATTCCACAAGGTTTGATTTGCTGCAGTCCGTTTATTTGATGTAGCAAGTATTCAAATCATGAAGCCCCCCCCCAGGTTTCTTCACCTCCCCATCCAATGCTGTGGATGGTAGAACCATAGTTGCTGGGGAGTAGGAGACAGTTATTTAAGTGCAAAACAGTGATGAAAAGGTCTTTGACCATACTTCACCACGATGGTCAGAAGAGGTTTGTACAGATACCTGATGGAGGAATGCACCACGGTCATGCAGGCCACCCCCCAAAAACTGCAGCTGGTCACAGAGATTACTTTGTAACAGCTATTATGTCAATAAACTACATAGAAATTACAAAATGTCTGATCATTTCGACTGATTCTTTGGTATAAGATTACAATCCAAAGAGAGCAAAAATGAGGAAATGGAGGTTACCACTTTTTAAATAAAATCACCAAAATTGTAATAATCACTGAAAGTGAGGGCCACCTAATAAATAAAATGAGAGCAAGCGATATTAAACACAGCATAAAGTACAGTATGTTGAAGAAAACGAGATATAAAAAGGGATGATAATGCCAACCAAAATAAGTAATATTTGTAAGACCTTTTTTTTAAACACGCTTTTGTGAGATGTACGAGTAATGGCAGAACTCCACGACTCCAGGAAGTGGCCCGAAGCTTGCCATAACGTAAGGGGCCGTGGCCAATTACAGTCAACGTTAGTTGACCGTGGACAATTAGACCCAAGCCGAAACATAACATACAAAAAATAATGTTAACATTTTTTTTATGATAGAATATGGTATTGTCATCTGTATGACATAAGTATACCAAGTTTGCAATCGATACCACATTGGGAAGTGGGTTAAAATTGAGTTACAAGATTTGAGGATACAACAATGACAACAACAACAGACAGAATGAGTTAAAAGAAAGCGTGTAAAATAGAATATAGGAAACTCAACCAAAACCATTAGAAGAGAATGCCAACATACACTGAGGAACACAAGACAAAAATGATTGGCACTGTCATACCAGGTAATGGCGGCATGGAAGTAGCAAAAAAGGTTATTGATTGCTAAAAATAACAAACAGTAGCCCTTAGAGAGCAAGATGAAAACGTAACGGATGACAGAGACAACATCGTATATATTTTTTCAGGAATTCTATGCTGCATAGCAATACCATTCACATAGGCTAGGAAACAAATCATCGTCGTTCAAGTAAAGGAGGAGGATGTTCCAGATGTCGCAGATGTTCGAGAATTGCAGAAGATGTCCTTTGTTATATAAAACGGATAGCTCCACCACCCAAAGCATTATCTGCTGGGTTATTTTGAGGCACTCTGATGTCTGCCCACGCATCCACATTAAACGAGGGGAATTGGCCAAGTAACTCAAGGCAGAGCCTTTCAGAAAATAATCCCTAATATTCATTGAAGAATTCCCGAGGATACAAAGGAAGTGATGTTATTACAGATAATGGAGAATTTTAATACAGGGCAGTGGTTTAGTATTTTTTCTGGATCTGACTAATGGTGCTGAAGGTTATGTTCTATCCTATTTATGTGTGGAAGTAATGATTCTGAATGCTTCTTTTGAGCCGTGGTTCTTTGAAATGAAGAACGCGCTCATATTGGGTGCTTATTTTTACTCGGACAACTGTGGCAGGATGGCTCAGCGGGTAGGCATTTGTCTTTAAAACAGGAGTAGTTGATTGACATTCTGCCACGTGATTCTCTTGACGATAGATTGATCGCTGATCTGTCATAAAGAGCTGTCACCTGCTTGGAAGGCAGTGGCGAGTTTTCCAGATGTTCGCAGATATATATTTTGTGGATCTGGTTACAATATTAAAGTAACTTGACTTGCATGCAATTTCAATTGTTGCGTAATGAAATAAGCTTCAAGTTCTAAATTTAACGTCCATCACTTCACCCCACAGCCCATCCTTTCCATCGATTACTAATAATCTTCATTCGATAGTAAATAGATAGTGACAAGGTAACGCAGGCACAGTACAGTGCTTGTTTAGTGGTGATAATTAATATTGACTGTGCTGAGGGAAGCATACGAAGACTTTTTTTAAAGAACTGATCATTGCTTACATGACTATGATATCAAATGGCTTTGTAAAATGGTATTTAATTTGCAATTGCTGCATAGCACTGTGTTTAAGAGTCATGTCAGTCGAGTGTTACTGCCCATGCCATCAGTGTGTTGCTGTTAAAGACAAAGGTGCATCCCTGCAATTACTTTCTCAAGCCACTGCTGATGGAAGGGCCTCGACTAAGAGGGAGCTCTAAAAGGGTATTTGGCCCACTCACTTTGACGAGATGTGTTGGAAGATGTGGGAATACCCATACTTTACCCCGCCACATGGAGCCTGCTGACCTACTATTTGTGGTGTCACCAATTGTACAGTACTTTTCGATTTAAAGCTTTCGTGACTGCAGGGATTCATCTTCGTGGTTCTTTCGGTAAAGTCACGTAGAAGGGAAGTAATAAAATAATAAAAATAAAACATAATAAAATAATTCTCACGACGTTTCGGCCACAACGCAAGCAGCCGTCCTCAGGTGGAGAACAGGTCCGTCAAGTAGACAGAGTCTGAATGGCACGCTCCAGGCTTGGAGCGACTATTTATGCTACTGGGATGGAGGGGCGAAGAGCGTCGTGAGAATTATTTTATTATGTTTTATTTTTATTATTTTATTACTTCCCTTCTACGTGACTTTACCGAAAGAACCAAGAAGATGTACAGTACTTCTTGGGTGGACAGAGGTGGGGGGG